CAAACTACAGTTAAACATACTTCCTTTGAAATACATCAAACTACAGTTAAACATACTTCCTTTGAAATACATCAAACTACAGTTAAACATACTTCCTTTGAAATACATCAAACTACAGTTAAACATACTTTCCCAACTGTAGTTTAATGTATTTCAAGGAAAGTATGTTTAACTGTAGTTTGATGTATTTCAAGGAAAGTATGTTTAACTGTAGTTTGATGTATTTCAAAAAAAATACTTTCTTTGAAATACATTACAACTTAAAATTGTTTTGTTTAAGCGTACAATGGGCTCTCTGCGTTTTGGCTACCACAGGAAATGAATCCCAAATTTGAACGCTATGAGCCCTCAAGTTTACCTCTGAGCAACCGAGGAGCCAAACTTGAAATAAAGTTTACAGGATGGCTCTCATGTGTACTAAAAGCAGGGCAAGTAGCTTTTTAATACCTGAGCATTGTTCAGTGGAGACCAAATATAAACGGCCAAAATGTTAATTTGGGACAGGATAACCACACATACTTTGAGCCTGTGACAAAAAACAACAACAACAAACACGTGAGTTATAAAATACCACTATTCGATTACAGTAACCCCTGAATTTACGGTGGGTACTGTTGATTAGTTGGCTTCCCTCAAAACTGGGGACGGTTGGCGCAGATAGACCTTCTGTAGTAGCTAAGCGTGAATATTTGAAACAAATAAAAGAACACTAATTCTTTGTTGGAGACACCTATATATATATTTATGAACATTTAGTGACCTTAGCGGTTTAGTAACTTTAACTTGTGAGAAAAAAAAATACTCCGAAGTCTTAAATGTTCAAAGAACACTTGACAAATATTTCAACAAAAAAATTCTATTACCGGTCCTACGACTGAAAAATATAATAGTTTGGTTCTTTCATACTTTAATAACTAAGGAGTCATTTGATTTACGAGAAAGCCTTGTTTAGCTTTTCAAGTAAAGACATTCTACCTTGATGTGTTTTCATGAGTCAATTTTCCAAACTCTCTCTCTCTCTCTATATATATATATATATATATATACTCCCCCCTCTCTCCTACCCACACGAATCTTCTAAATAGCTGAGGTAACTAACTGTTTATAAATGTGTTGTTCCTTTGTACTACGAAAGGCTACATTCGGCCCCACCTTTAGGTGTCCTCCGCTATAAATCAGCTTATTTTTAATTTTGTGTTTGTTTTATATAATATGCAGCTTTCTCATCTTATACAAACAGCTTGTGAATCTTTGCACACGTGCAAATTGAAAGCGATTCTCTGGTTTCAGATTCTGACATTCTTTTCCGGTTTCACCTGACAAAATTTACATATTACAAATTGAGTCGTTACGCTTTCCAGATCTAGTCCACATAAAATATTCTATTTTTTATGAATTTCGACGTACATCAATATTTGTTTTTAAGTTGGCAAAGTCGAAACGGTTTTTTCTTTCCCAACTTATAAAGTCTTGACTGTCATCACGACAACAGACTTTGGCCAGATATTATTTTTTCTTCCTTATTTAATAAGTTAATGATCAAATCGTTCGTGTGTTCATGTATAATTAGGCTACAAGTTTCCGGTACGAACTCAGCCCTCCCTGTATTTTGCTTGATTTTTAATGCTTAGGTTAAAAAAAACGATTAATCTTTAGTAAGCTGAGTTTACACGAAGTCCCGATAATAAAATATGGTTTAATATTTATTCTTATGTTTTCATCTTTAAATATCAATACCGTCAGCAGGACTTAAGCCTAAGCTCAACTTCCAGGCTTAGTGACAATATGACCCATTCAGTTAAATATGTTTAAGTAGAATTTGCTGTAGTTTCGAATGATTCTTGTCTTTTTTTTCAAGCATGATGGTTTTATTCCCACTTTAATAATTATCAATTTTCTACTGTTTAATCATGAAGCTCAAAAGAAATACAAGAACATCTATTCAGTCAATATCATTTTTTTAGATTAACTTCCTTCCGTGATTAGGGGACTTTTTTGCAAATAAACAAGGCCTGGCATGACTAGGCGGTTAGAGCGCTCGACTCGCAATCTGCGGGTTAAAATCCCGTCTTTCCAAACATGCTCGCCCTTTCAATTCTACTATTCTATGGTAAAAGAGTAGTCCAAGAGTTGGCGTTGGGCGGTAATGACTAACTGCTTTCCTTCTAGTCTATCGCTGCTAAATTGGGGACGGCTAGCGCAGATAGCCCTCGTGTAGCTTTGTGCGAAATTCCAAATAAACAGTGTTTTGTGATCCATTTATTACATTCTGTCAACCTACTGAAGTTTCGAATGGTTCTGATCTGTCTTATTGTACGAGTTGACTTCAGATCTTCTGTTCCAGTGAAGACAAACTCAAATGTGCCCAAACGTCGTCCCTCAAGGTCGGCTCTCCATTAACGATAAACTAAAAAAAAGGAAAAAAGAATTACACTTGGTGAGTTACACCTAAGAGTGACACATTTGTATAATTTCTGTTTGCGTTATCAAGCAGCTAGAATATCCAAACTTTTCAATAAGTCAGTTCTCTTGGTAGAAACATTAAAACATAGTTTAAACTTCAAGATTTCAGTTTGTTGGACCCTTACATCAAAATAAGAAGCCGCCCCGTTATAATGAATTTCCCACATATACATGTATAAAACAAGAGTTTAAGGTTGTCTTCATTAATGATGGCCAAAACATCTGGTATCAGTAAATTAACCCTAATTCAATCACAGAATGAGCACGATTGAAAACATCGTCTCATATTACTGGTTAAGGAAATGTATTTTGACTAGTAGAAACTGCAAATATATCAATTTTTGTCGGTCCTTTTCTTCTTCTTTTTAATTCAACGTTAATGTATTGCATACTGAAAGTAATTGCTACCTCAAGTAAATAACAAACAAATTTAGCTGTTAGGAGCAGTCTTAGGCAGGTGGAAGTAGCAATGCAGCTGCACCGGGCTCGATGTCTTAACAAGGAATTTTTAAATTTAAATCTTATATTTTCATTTTTGGCTCTTTACTTTTTTATTCTATACTGCTGGTTATAGTTACCATTGCTACTATTGTACATAAAGAATTTAGTTTAATAATATACACAGGCTTGACTATATTATATTCAAACACTTTTGGAAATGCAAGTGAGCAAGCCACGTGATAACCACAGCCGATATAAAGTTGCAGTGGAACTGCATGTATCAGAAGTACATTTTGACATTTGTTACCTAGGTTGTGTGATGCCACCGAAAATTATTCGCTTTTGGGAAGGGTATGTAACAGCCCTTTCTGACGCAAAACATTCATCCACTCAAGTTATAAAGATGTGTTTATTTCGGGCAGTTATAATTTCCAAGACGGTGATATCCCTAGTACTTAATGGCATTGGAAAACAAATGAATATGGATGAACTTGGGGATCTAGGATCATCCAGAAAGAGACCATCAGTAAATCACATCCCAGACGTAGTAAGCAAAGTGTGAAGTCTTGTATAGGTGAGAAGCCACGAACACAAAGGTCAGTGCCAAAAGCCGTTCACGTGGTCCAGTCAATAAAACGCAACACATTTAACAAGTATATCTGTCTACAAAAGCGACATGAGTCACATGTAAGCAAATTATTTCTTCGACGTATCCAATCAACCACATCTCATATAGGTGGAGGATGAAACGAGTATTCATGCTATTCATATAAAGATATGCTGGTTAATTCGCTGGACGCCTAAGCATTTATGTACAATTCAGACGATTTAAGCAGTTGCTGGGAAACAGTCGTCCTCGTGCACTAGATGACTTATGGAAACCACGCAGAGAGCAGTGGTGTGCTTTTGACATGATATTCTTAAGATGGAACCTTTTGAAATAGAAACTACGCTGCAGACCATTGTCAAAATGCATGACCATCAGATAGAGCGTGACTGAACGTAGTGACATTAACTGTAAGGATGTGGTGAGTCTTCCAAATTTTTGTAATACAAACTCAAAACATTAGCAACATTTGTACATTGACAGAGAAGTGACGCATGATTATTTGTCATATCTGACGTATTTTCCGTTTCAGTGGATTTTTATGTGCACTTAACTTTCATTGCATCTCAGTAATGTGTTTTAGTTGAAAGTTCCTGGCTACACTTTCTCTTTTTGTATAATTGTGTTAACTATTTTTACATTGACAGTTATTTGAAACAGATTTGGTATCCTCCATATTCTAAAAATTGTATTTCAGTTCACGTCAGCAAAAACAATTCAAGTGAAATAAATTCTGATAGATTTTTCACATCTTTATAAGACTGGAACAACTGACATTTTCAAAATCTGGCCCAACCATTCACCAAACTTACGAGAGTTAGAATAATAAAAAAAATGCGCTCTTTCATTAATAACTTCCGATTTTTTCTTTCTTCGGGAACTATTTACATTAGATTAGGTTGGCCTTTCTTCTTAATAAGGAATTTTTTATAATGAAACCGCGAAGCTTTCAGAAATGTAGTATTGTTCGTTATGAAGTAAACAGACGGCCAGCGAAGAACAATCATCAAACGGGGACGTGGCATTCCATAACCCTACGGCCATCATTTTGAAAGCCCTTAAGGACTAACAGGTTTATTATTCACATACAAGCCTTAGTACCAGCTGGCAGGTCTCGATAACTTTGGATAAGGATAATTAGCAAGCGCCAACATGCACGTGCTTCTACATTGTGGAATGCGGGAGAAAGTCAAGAGTCACGTGATTTCAAGAAGAAAAAACAGTCGTGGGGATAAGGATGAGGGGTACAAAGAAATAGAAACAACGCCGTTTCTTGAGTTAGTTATTGTTCATTTAGATGTTGGAAGTAGTTCATGATAAGAACGGGTTTAATGTCGCCCCAAAAGCAGGAAAGTTGGCCGTTCAGACTCGTTTTAATGATAAGCTAAGAAATATTCTGTTGAGCAATAAATCAACTGTTGAACAACAATTTGTTCGTTCATGTATGTCAATGTGATTTTAACTCATGCCTTCTATTCTTCTCATATGTAACTGGCGTAGTAGTGATTGATTATTTGGAATGTCTATGTCGCTGAAGGTGCGGTGATCACAGTACCAAAGTGTGTGCGTGTGTTTGTTCAGCTACTAAATTGTTGTTTCACATCGTCTAAGCAGCATGGTTGATGGCTTGTCTGCACGTTCCCATACCATACCTCTAGACGACATGCACGTGCACACGAAGAGGGTGCAGGTGTTCGCTCTTGAAAGATGTTGTTTCCGATTTGGACCCTTCAGGCAACAAGCTCGAGTGACGCGCAAGTGAATCTATAAACTCAGTTAAAAAAAAAAAGTTGAATACCAGAACAAGGCTGGCCTGACCGATGTGTTCACTCCCACGTTTGGACACGTGAAAGCCACAAATGCATTTTGTTCTTATGCATAAAACAATTACACAAGTAGATTTATCGCTGTGTTGACTTATGCCATTAAAATTCACAGAGTTAGTTGCAATACAAATGTATTTCAAGTGTGATAATAAACAAGAAAAAAACTTAAATTATACTTGTTGTCTGCATCAAAATAAACAATTACAAACATACATATATATATATAAAATGAGCACTGCGGCAAAAATTTATTGCATTTATGCATTTCTTGCAAGTTATTCGATTTACACCCGTATATAAATTGGGGATATTACTGGTTAAAAAAAAAACCAATAGACAAAGACTGGTGTTCGCTGATATTTGGTGCTTTAAACCTGAACGACATATTATGCGTCGCATGGGTTAACAACCCCTTGGCTCAAGCCATAACTGTCCCTAATTTAGAGGTCTGGACAAAAGAATGGGAAACGAGTCGGCAGCATCAGCCGCCTACATGCGTACGCTTAACCCAATAGCGCACGACTGACTGTCACTATGGTAACGCTCTCACAGCTAAAAGGACGGAGCGTGTTCAGCAGCATACCGTGGTTTCAAACCTTGGATCTTATGATCCATAATCTGACACTACGCAACCACTAGGAGGCCACTACCGTTTCACTGATCTCAACTACAATCATTAAAAAAATACACGAAATTTTACAATAAAGCTATGATATTTTAGTCTTCATTTTGGTTTAAATTACTTCTTCAAGTAAAGTGCACGTGGTTGCTTGTCTGTTTGGTTTTGGTAGGCATTCTGTGCTTAGAAAATTGTTAATAGACGAATTTGTGAACGATTTAAAATTAACAAATTACTATAAGGCGAGTAAACTTTAAGGAATTCTAAGATCTTATTAGTGAAAGGAAAAAAGAATGAGTCAACCACACTACATCTGCCATATCCAGTGCCGATGAGGCCTTTTGCGTAATACCAGAATTTATCAGGCTGGCTGGAAACAACGGCGATGCTAGTAATCTACAAGTGCTATTTAAATCATCAATTTCACGAACAACAACTATTATTGTGTGAACTAGAGTGAAATATAATTATTATCAATTTCATTTAAGTCGTTTACAATTCAGAATTAGTGTAAGAATTAATAAAAACGGTTATTTTTATTTTTTAACTTGAATTATCTCTACCATCAATCAGAAGAAGGCGAACCAATAGCAAGACTCGTTAGGTCAGTCGGAATACGACATACATAGTCATCATCATCTTGAGGAATATTCGGGATTTAAGAACTATGGTGTTCGGATGTTCGTATTTCCTGAACACCAATCGTGACGGATTAAACTAGATTAAATAAATGTAATTATCGATTTCATTTAAGTAATTTACAAACCAGAACTAGGATAAGGATTAATGACACATAATTTTTTGCTTGTTTAGCGGAAAGTTACACAATAAGTTATATGCGGCCAATCCACAGTGGAGAATCGTTCCCCAGATTTTATCATTATAAAGAGATCAAGAGACAACATATATATAGGGAAGACAACTAGGTAATAACACCCACCGCCAACTATTAGGTTATTTTGCCTAACTGAATAATGAAATTTGATTGTCTATTGCACACTAGTGCACCCACGACCCCATTAGAA